GTGTGTGTGTAGTATATATATATATATATATATATATATATATATATATATTTGTATATGAACATAGTTTTGATCTTTTATTTAACATCAATTAACCAAAGAAACTACAAAATTTCACTAGAAGCCATAATAGTAATACTTTGAGCTTCCAGTGGATTCCATAGTATTGTTTTTTCTTTAGACTTCCTTAATCTTCTTAGGCATGGTTTCAATGAGGGCTAAATGGTTGGCTTACCGTGTAGACTCCTCCATGCAAACTCTAAACATAACATTATTCAGCAGGATTCATTCAACTTTGTGAATCAACATCAGTAATTATTGGGTGATGCAAAACGTTTGGCCATAGTTGGCATATTCTGGCTGTTGGACTTGAAAATATTTATAAAAAAGATTGCAGTACACAGTTATACGGTCTTTCAAGGCACCATGAACAATAACAGTAGCTTATTAAAACATGTTCTTCCTTCTTATAAGATTGTATATATATATATAAAACATCTTTCTTGCTGCATGATTCCATATAAAACATTGTCTTCCTTTTATTGGATGATTATATATAAAACATGCACTTTCTTATTGCAGGATTACATATAAAACATGCACTTTCTTATTGCAGGATTATATATAAAGTATCCACTTTATTGTTGCATTATTATATATAAAACATTTTCTTTCTTATTGCAGGATTCCATATAAATCATGTTCTCTCTTATTGCAGGATTATTTTTATAGTATGTTCTTTCTTATTGCATGATTAGATATAAAACATGCTCTTTCTTATTGCGGGATTACATATACAGCATGCTCTTTCTTATTGCAGGATTATATATGAAATATGTACTTTATTGTTGCAGGATTATATATAAAACATGTTCTTTATTATTGCAGGATTACATATATAACATGCTCTTTCATATTGCAAGATTATATGTAAGATATGCTCTTTCTTGTTGGTTAATCATATATAACATGCACTTTCTTGTTGCAGGATTATATGTAAGATATGCTCTTTCTTGTTGCATGATTAGATACAAAATGTGTTCTTTCTTGTTGCATGATTAGATACAAAATGTGTTCTTTCTTGTTGTATGATTAGATATGTGTTCTTTCTTGTTGCAGGATTAGATATAAATGTGTTCTTTCTTGTTGCAGGATTAGATATAAAACGTGCACTTTCTTGTTGCATGAGTAGATATATAATTTGTTCTTGTTGCTTGAGTAGATATATAATTTGTTCTTGTTGCTTGAGTAGATATATAATTTGTTCTTGTTGCTTGAGTAGATATATAATTTGTTCTTGTTGCTTGAGTAGATATATAATTTGCTCTTGTTGCATGAGTAGATATATAATTTGTTCTTGTTGCATGAGTAGATGTGCTCTTTCTTCTCACAGGATTACATATAAAAATATGCACTTTCTTGTTGCATGATTAAATGTAAAATGTATTATTTCTTGTTGTAGTATTATATGTAAGATATGCTTTTTCTCGTTGCATGAGTAGATATAAAATGTGTTCTTACTTGTTGCAGGATCACATATAAAACATGCACTTGTTGCAGGATTACATATAAAACATGCACTTTCTTATTGCAGGATTATATATAATGTATCCACTTTATTGTTGCATTATTATATATAAAACATGTTCTTTCTTGTTGCAGGATTCCATATAAAACATGTTCTCTCTTATTGCAGGATTGTATATAAAATAGGCACTTTCTTGTTGCATGATCAGATATAAAATGTGTTCTTTTCGGTTGCATGATTAGATACAAAATGTGTTCTTTCTTGTTGCATGATTAGATACAAAATGTGTTCTTTCTTGTTGCATGATTAGATACAAAATGTGTTCTTTCTTGTTGCAGGATTACTTGTAAAATAAGCACTTTATTCTTGCAGGATTATATGTAAGATATGCTCTTTCTTGTCACATGAGTTTATAAAAATCTATTATTTCTTGTTATAAGATTATATGTAAGATATGCTCTTTCTCGTTGCATAAGTAGATATATAATATGTTCTTCCTTTTTGCATGACTAGATATAAAATGTGTTATTTCTTGTTGCACGATCACATATAGAACATGCACTTTCTTGTTGCAGGATTACATATAAAACATGCAATTTCTTATTGCAGGATTATATATAAGGTATCCACTTTATTGTTGCATGATTATATATAAAACATGTTCTTTCTTGTTGCGTGATTAGATATAAAACGTTCTTTCTTGTTGCGTGATTAGATATAAAACATGTTTTTTCTTGTTGTAGGATATAGCTGCTTTGGCAAGTATTCCTTTGTTGGGATACTCTGTGGATACATTTACAGAGGTATGTTGAACTTGTGTGTTATAACAGAAATTGCCATTAACACAACATAAACATTATACATTGTGAAATAGGTTGTCTTTAAAACATGATAAACATTATACATTGTGAAATATGTTGTGTTTAAAACAAGATAAACATTATACATTGTAAAATAAGTTGTCTTTAAAACATGATAAACATTATACATTGTAAAATAGGTTGTCAATAAAACAAGATAAACATTATACATCGTGAAATATGTGTTTAAAACAAGATAAACATTATACATTGTAAAATAAGTTGTCTTAAAACAAGATAAACATTATACATTGTAAAATATGTTTCTATTAAATCAAGATAAACATTATATATTGTAAAATAAGTTTCCATTAAAACAAGATAAACATTATATATTGTAAAATAAGTTGCCCTTAAAACAAGATAAACATTATACATTGTAAAATAAGTTTCCGTTAAAACAAGATAAACATTATTCATTGTAAAATATGTTTCTATTAAAACAAGATAAACATTATATATTGTAAAATAAGTTTCCATTAAAACAAGATAAACATTATTCATTATAAAATAAGTTGCCCTTAAAACAAGATAAACATTATACATTGTAAAATAAGTTGTTTTAAAACAAGATAAACATTATACATTGTAAAATAAGTTGTTTTAAAACAAGATAAACATTATACATTG